CGCTGCTTTTCCCCCGCCAGCCTCAAAGAGCAGACTCTCCTGGCTTCAGCGGAAGCAACGGGAAGCCTCCGGAGCGCAGGCTTCGGAGGCTTTGCCTTGCTATCGCTGAAGCCAGGGAGCCTGCATTCGCTCCATAGGACGCACACACATTTCCCCTTAGTTTTTAAGACGGAAAAACTGCGTCCTATGGTGCGAAAAATACGGTATCTTAAATTTTATTCTGGGCTTTTTGCCCTGCCAGACAAATTTAGATATATCTTTCTGCCACTTCCTGAAACAGTCCATTTTGTCCACAATCTGCAATGTCTGAAACAGAAATAACATTCTAGGCAAAACGTTCATCTTGATAACTGCGATTCGGCCTAACAAGGAAAGTCTCAAATTTGACAATATTTCTAGATCTTTCTTTACCTCTGTCCAACATTTGTCATAGTTATCTTTAAATAAGTTCACATTCTTAGATGTCAAATTAATCCCCAAATATTTCACTTTCTTTGCCGGAATTTTTTCAAAAAAATATTTTCCGCCGGTTAAGTTGTTGAGGGCTGATTTCTTATCCTGTGATAAAAAGCCTTCTGTTTCCATCGCCAAAGCTTTCAGGGGAGCATTTGCAAGCTTCTGGCATCATTTTTGAGTGAATCGCCAAAAGTCAGATTTTTGCTGAAATTGTGAAATTGCGAGTTCTTGTGAGTTTTTCTTAAAGCCGCTAAGTTTTGCGAGTTCTTGCGAGTTCTTGCGAGTTTTTCTTAAAGCCGCTTTTTCTTAAAGCCGCTAAGCGCCGTGCTTCGCAAGACGAAAAAACCGGAAGACAAAGAGACTCGCGGAATGGATTAATTTCGTCTTGCAAGGCACCACTGTACTGACACTGTACAACCAAGCAGAGCAAGCACAGAAAGGAAAAGTTAAAAATCGGCACCAAGGAACCAAAAACAATTTTTAAAAATAAAAATGCCTCTTTAAAGACAAATACTTGTGCCATCCCCAAATCCCCAGTGTGAGGCATGCGTCAGAAAAAATGAAATGCATTCATAGAGGCTCCTCACGAGGCTGGAGGAACATCGCCTGGCTGTGGGGCGTGAAGGCTGCTCCCTGCAAGGCCCTTTCCACCTGGCCTAGGGGGTGAGACCCAGACTCACCAGCCCCACTGAAGAGGCTCCTCATGAGGCTGGAGGAAGACAAACTTTCCCTTTGCTAGGCTTCTCTCCTGCTATTAAAAGCAAGTGGCATATTATTATTCAATGGCCTCGGTCCAGTATATCTGAAGGAGCGTCTCCACCCCCATTGTTCTGCCCGGAGACTGAGGTCCAGTGCCGAGGGCCTTCTGGCGGTTCCCACACTGCGAGAAGCCAAGTTACAGGGAACCAGGCAGAGGGCCTTCTTGGTAGTGGCACCCGCCCTGTGGAACACCCTCCCACCAGATGTCAAAGAGAACAACTACCAGACTTTTAGAAGACATCTGAAGGCAGCCCTGTTTAGGGAAGCTTTTAATGTTTGATGTATTACTGTATTTTAATATTTGGTTGGAAGCTGCCCAGAGTGGCTGGGGAAGCCCAGCCAGATGGGCAGGGTATAAATAAATTATTATTATTGGCTTGCAGCAGCACGTGATAAGAAGCAGGCTGTATTAGAGGCCTCTCTAGCAGTCTAGCTGACTGCTTTGGGGCAAGGGTGGTCATCTTGAGGTAATGAAGGCATGTGACAGCTTCCTAGCTTCTCCTTTCTCTTCTTTTGACAAAGGGGGGAACAAGACACTATATGATTTTGGGTGGCAATTGGCGGCCACCTTTTTCTGAAGCCACAGGAACCACCAGTTATGATAGCCAATATTCTGGCTAGCCAGGGAAATGGGGATTGACAGCAGCCCACCCAAAGGAATCACAGCATCCACAACCAGTTTCTGGGCCAGGAGGGAACACTGGGTGTGAATGGTAGCAGACACACATTGTGTCCAGTTTGAAGTATTGCTACCTCACCTTGGAGACCTGGTTGAAATGCTACGCAGCTTTGGGGCTTAGTTTAAACCAGCAGGCACCTAAGTCCTTCACCAGTTATAGCCCATTGGGGTACAGTGGTGCCCCGCAAGACGAATGCCTCGCAAGACGAAAAACCCGCTAGACGAAAGGGTTTTCCGTTTTTGAGTTGCTTCGCAAGACAAATTTCCCTATGGACTTGCTTCGCAAGACGAAAACGTCTTGAGAGTCTTGCGATTTTTTTTCGCCCCCCCCTTTTTCTAAGCCGCTAAGCCGCTAATAGCCTTTTAGCCGCTAAGCCTTTAATAGCCGCTAAGCCGCTAATAGGGTTGCTTCGCAAGACAAAAAACCGCTAGACGAAGAGACTCGCGGAACGGATTATTTTCGTCTTGCAAGGCACCACTGTATTCCTTCCTATAGATAGGAGGGTGTACAATCAACACAACATTCAGTGCTAAACCAATCTAATTAACACATCACTCTTGTATTTGATTGAGTTAATGTGGAACGGAGAAAGCATGGATTCCTCTTCAAAGCAAGCATGTGCACTATTTGCATGAACCTTACAGAAGGGTGTTTTCCGCTTCCCAGTGTCCACAAAACACAGCTACTTGTGCTATTGGAAGTGAAGCCAAGGGGCACACTCAGATAGGCAACTAGATTTAACATGTAAATGACAACACATTTCCCCACAAGAGCTCAAACCCGATCACATTCATAAAGATGCAACATCAGTGACATTTCCTGAGTTCGTCTGCCAGGGGAACCAGAGAAACCAAGATGAAGCTTTGTAGTGTGTTATTTCATCTCACAATATTTATATGCAGCTTGAATGTCATAAAACTTCAGTGGTTTTAAAAAAGAGTAAAACAATAAATTTACCAGTAAAGGTAAAGGTACCCCTGCCCGTACGGGCCAGTCTTGCCAGACTCTAGGGTTGTGCGCCCATCTCACTCAAGAGGCCGGGGGCCAGCGCTGTCCGGAGACACTTCTGGGTCACGTGGCCAGTGTGACATCGCTGCTCTGGCGAGCCAGAGCCGCACACGGAAACGGCGTTTACCTTCCCGCTATTAAGCGGTCCCTATTTATCTACTTGCACCCGGGGGTGCTTTCGAACTGCTAGGTTGGCAGGCGCTGGGACCGAGCAACGGGAGCGCACCCCACCGCGGGGATTTGAACCGCCGACCTTTCGATCGGCAAGTCCTAGGCGCTGAGGTTTTACCCACAGTGCCACCCGCGTCCCAAAAATTTACCAGTAGGAAACCATTAAAAGCAACTATTTAAAACATTTTAAAATATTAAAATCAATGAAGCTAAAAACCAAATCAAAACATAATGCTTGTCTAGTATTCTTAGTGAAAACTCAATGTCCAAGTCACAGGAAGTAGTTATATTTTTTGATAGAAAACCAAAGAATTTGAAGAGATTTACTGATTTGCCGAGTGTATTCATTCACAGAATAGAACTCTCAAAAACCTTCCCAGTCAGGAACAGGTCACTACCCAGCTTTTTCGAAGTATCTGGTTAATATGTTATAGCAGTGATCCCCTCCATTACAAGGTGGAATTTATTCTGACAATTTAAACAGGTCTGTTTCCCTTGCTCTTTCAGAGTACTATCCGATAGCCGTTTTTGTAAAAGGTTGCATAATCAAAGCCCGCTACATTATGCACATCTTCCAAAGTAAGTCACTTTCAAGGTCATGCAGCAATCAGCAGAGCCTAATGCCACTTTTTTACATGCAGTAGTTCCTATCAATCTTCAGCTAGTACATTCATTCAAGTAGAACTATGTCATAGGTTTACGAGACACTTCAAGGAATGAATGCTGTTAGGCTCTAAACTGTGCATTCACCTTTAGACCCCCATGTGCAATTAGGGACCAGTTTCTTAACGTTTTAGCATATAATTATATGGTGGTTTTACTGCTAGTCACCCCCCACCCCACCGTGGGTCAGGTTATGATCTGGTAGCGGTCATGGACAACAGCTGAAGCTACAGTAATTAACAGTAGCTAGCTACTAATAAACTCCTTGAATCTACTTCAGCTTGAAGTCAGTTCTTCCAAGACTTCCTCTTCATTTTCATTCCAGCTCACGGCAACAAGTGTGAATAACCCAGACTGAAAATAACAAAGGGGCTTCATGCAGCCTGGAGAACGAACTGAGCCATGCTGTGAATTGGCATTGTGAGAGCAGAAATTGACAGTATTCTTGCAGAGGTTGTAATATAAATGCCGGCAGCTGCCTAATAGTTTGCAATGTCAGCTAAACCTAGAATGGTCACATGGACGTCCACATTTTTCTGATGAAGCTGAGGTTGGCACTCACCATAGCTAGTAGCATTTGGGAATCATTTCAAAACCCCTTTGTGCCTTCAGCCCCTGAGGAATAGGATTCACTGTGTTGATCCTGAATTCCAAGCCAACTTAATCTACTTCTCCTGCCAGATTTAGTTTGCAAAAGTGGTTAGATAGAGCACCAGCATTTACTTCAGCATGAATTCAAGCTTACCAACATATACATTCATGAGAACTTATGTTTTGTGTCTTCCAAGTTCAGGTAAGGCCTAGATGACAGGCTTAGAGAGATATCAGCAGTTGATTGAATTCTCCAAAAGCTATTTGAATATGATCTGGAATTCCACAGTATACTGTAGGCTCTCCAAGAATCCTTGTTAATTCTAGGAGTCAGCATTCAAGCACCAAGTTCTTCGTAACACATATGATTCTCCTAACCTGAAGCTAGGAAGGAGTATCTCCCTGATAAAGCAGCAGCAGTTGACACTACTACAAAAACATTCAACAGAATTTCCACTGCCAGAGGCCAGGATTAAGGATGATAAACTACATTTTTACCCAATACAGTCTGTTATGTAATCTTTGGCAACGCTTACAGTCAAAGTATATTTAAATGTGTTTGTGTTGGCTGTTTTCTTCTCAGATTTTACTTAGTTTACCAGGTAGTCAAGAAGCTACTAACATGCTTATGATTCACTGAAGGCTCTTGTTTAATGCATCCAAAGCAATCAGGAGTTTTAAGATAAGAGACGTTTTTATTTAAGCTGCAACACACATGGTTTTAATACAACATTTAAATCAGGTGAAAAGTAAAACACTGAACTATCAGCAGTAGAACATTTCCATTGGAAATGTGTTAAAATTCTCGAGGATCTCGTGTTACCATCTTACTGCAGTTTTCTTATGTGTTTCTAGCCTACACTCCATATGTTTTCTGTAGTCATGCAAAAGCAAATAAGATTTTGAATGGGAAGTCCATCGACTGCAAAGAATCATTTTTCACAGAGTAGCCAGCTTGGGTAAGAACAAAACCTGCAGAAGTTCTTCATGTAAACACACACATTTTAGAAGCCATGAACTTTCAGCTGCTCCTCCTTGACAATGCCAACCTGCAGAAGAGAAGGAGATGGCAGTAAGCCCGCAGCAGTTAGAACCTGAAAGTCCAACACAAAAATGAAGTTACACACTTGTCAATCCCAAGGCAGAAGGAGAAAGAGTTAACATACAGATGAAACTGTACCAATGTACAATGGGGGGGGGGGGAGAGAGAGAGAGAGACTCTTTTCCGTCTGCCATCCTGGTGTGCAACTGTCTATGGGTTGCAAGCCAGAATCAAAAATGAGTGGACCAATGGAGGTGAATCTTACCTCTGTTATAGTTGGCTACATGAGAGCCATGGGTAGGGGGAAATCAGACACACACATTCTATCCAATGAAGAATTATTACTGTTCAAGGACATGTTTCAGGCAGGCTAAAGCACTCAAGGAGGGAGTGGAGCAACTCCTGGTACATAGCGTGGACTCAGGGAGTGCTTTTTGGCCTTGGGAGAGTCCCGAGGGCTGAAGAGAGAAGCCTGGAAGAACACACCTGCTCCCTGGACCAGTGCCCCCTATGGTACAAGAGGATCTACAGCAGCCATTCTTTTAGGTTACATTCAGATAAGTGCCAAGCAGTGCCTTATGCAATTAATTAAGTTAATTTCTTGTGATAAAATCCAGCTGCTCAAATATACATCTCCGACTGCCGAAGTCAGGCCTGTTGCACTCCTCCCCCCTTGCCGCCAGTATGACTCAGCTCACCCCTTTTAGTCCAGGCAGCAATATGGCTCACAGCTAGGGGTAGTGACTCACTCGACCCTGCCATGTTATGTTACATTCAGAGTCAAAAGCGCCTCGCTTAAATAGGCTTCCGAGTGCATTTTCACATTTGAGCAAGCAGCCTGAGCTGACTGACCTCTAGGAGGAATTGGCAAATGTTCTTCCTCTGGTCTCCTTGCAACTGGATCACTTCCCCGTATTCAGGATGCTCAATCACAGTACCATTACAGGCAAATTTCTACAAAGAAAGGTTTAATGCTTTTCAAAACCCAGTAGCAAATTATGTTTAGATCACTTTCAGAAGAGAACCAAAATCCACTATTTTGGTTATTATTATTTTTCCTTCAGAAGACATGCTCCCAAGGTTTTGCTTGCAAATGAGATATATGCTTTTCTAGTGATGGATTTTGGCAGAAGTTCCTAGATGCTTGGAGCTTAGAATTGCAGAGCTCAGCAATGTCCTAAATCAACTGCAGGAGTCAAATCAATGTCCTGGCCCAACTTCACATTTCCCCCTACAACTTGACCACCACCAACTAGATGAGTACACTATATTTTGCTCCACTCCACACCCAACCTCAGATATCTTCCCACGTCACCTCCCAGGGTTTTTCCTCTTTGCTCCAGGCTTGTCTCCCCACTTTTTTTTACTACTGTTCTAGAAATATAGAACTGAATTCCTCCTCCGCAACACAATTGGCATTGTCAAAAACAGGCAACATGGTACTGAGCTATTTGTTCCAGGAACAACTTTCTGGTTACCTTTTGCAGCAATATATCTCCTTATGTGGCTTTTAAGTCATTTTAAAGGGTCTGGATCCATTCCTAGACAGTGACAATTGTAGAAAAGAGCATGAAAGCTGGTTATTGCAACTAAATTGACCAGCACACTGCTCAAACATTAATTTTTTTTCAGTTAAGACTGGCTGCTCCTGTCAGTGCATTCAACATCTGAAATGGTCATATACTGGAAAGCTGTCTCAACCAGAACATTTAACACGCCTGTCGCAGCATTTGATCTTTCACTTCCCCACTGGAAATTTTTAATTTACATGCATTTCTCTTTCAAGCACAAAAAGCTTCAGGACCTAGGAGAAGAACAGCGCTACCTTTTTGAAGGCTTTCACAAGCTTCTTTTTGTCATAGTCATCTGCAATTCCCTGAACAGTAGTTAGTGTCTTTCTGCCGTTTCGTTGCTGGATCCTTATATGAATGTAGTCTTCAGTCCCTGCCGGGAGTAAGTCGTCACCCTTAGTTGCATCAGCAAAGGGGTCTGGAGGGGTGAAAAGTCCACATGAGTTAGTCTGATGCAAACCTTCAAGCTCCTACATATTTTGAATGTCTTTTCCAAATGGTAGATAAAACATACTTCTTAGTATTCTAAACTACTTAATCCAGGCAGCAGCGATTCTTTACCATGTCAATACAAACATGATCGTGATATATTGTCACATATGGTAATTTCTGCATATCTGTGGGTGTTGTCTGCTCTCTAAGGCCCATACCTGGGCCCTGTTTCTCATTTTCTGCTACAGACTAACCCAGTCTTCATCTCACCTTGAGAACTTGCTCAAACACTAACCAGGAATACTCTAACACAAATGTATTCAGGACAGACTACTAACTGTGGGGAGAAAAGCATACCAGCAACCATAAGTAGTCTGATATTCCATTAGGCACCCTGGTAGTGACAAGGTTTTTATTTTAGCCTTTGTCCACTATTGCTCCCAAACCCACCAATTCCTCCATACAACGTTTCACTGCTTGCCTGCTACTAAAATAGAAGCTCTTTTCCACCTATGCCTTGTTTGAGGCTCAATCTGAGGAAGATCAGTTCCCTGCTTTTAGGCCAACCAGCTACCCGGATGAGGAAAAGGTCAATCTACCTTCAAAGAACTCCTTCCACAGCAGTCTGCCATGCAACTCCTGTGCATTGTAGAGGGGAGGTTCTGGGGCCACTTCCAAGGTACACTGTCGGTTCACACCAGGCACTGGAGAGGCCTGTTGGGCTTACCCATTGACACATAGGAGCCCCCCTGCAGCTGCACAATGAACCTAGAGGTAATGCTTTGGCAAGTTAACAAGGGGAGGCAAGGGCAAGTCCAATATAAACACTGGGTACAAGCTGTACAATGAGGGAAGGCAGAGAATTCTAAATGGCACTAGCATTCAAATCGTTATCGCATGAATGAGGAAACTGGACCTATGAGCACCATTGGCTCCAACTCCCATCAGGCTACTTCTGCGTCACTGCAAAAGTTGCAACAACTTGTTCACAGACTCCAATATGTCCAAGTCTAGCTCTGGGAGGCTACAAGTCTGTGCCACACTTCTGGCTGTAGGGAGGGCTAGAGAACCTTATTGTTTTTCGTGTTTTTATTCTGAATGAGGAGCAACAAGTCATATGACCTCCCTCCTTGCAGTCAGAGGTTAGACAAAGATTGACTACCTCCACAAACTCCTTAAAATGGTGCTGTGTTCTGTGAAGCAGAAAGTGGATTATGGGAGAATACGGCACAATTTTAGCTAAAGGATCTTCCACTGCTCCCTTAGCTGCAGAAACCAAGCCTACAAAATCTGCACTCTTCATAGCTACTTGTCACTCCCCATCTGAAAGAGCAGAGTCAAAGTGGAGTCACACTGAAAACCGTTATCAATTTTGCACCTTTCCTCCTTTACCAATTGACAAATTCTAAAGTCCTATCCAATTCAGGCATAAACCTCTACGAATGAAAACGTCTTCAAAAAGCTGTTTTCAACAGATCAGGAAGTTTATTTGTGGCAAGGTGGATGTATCTGTGTTCAATACAAATCAAGGAATGCAATTTTAGAACTGATGGCTACGGCAAAGATGATAAAATGAAGGCTCTTTGCATAGAAAGAGGAATATCACAAAATAAATTCCCTGGATAGAGGAGAAATTCACCTCAAGACTGGAAGGAGAAAATGGAGAGACTGAGGTACAAAAGCTTTGCCTAGGCCAGGGGGTGGGGGGAGATGTTGCTGGACTCCCATTTCTCATTAGCTTGTCCAGCATGACCTGGGATGATGGGCGCTGTAATCCATCAACATCTGGGGGGGGGGGACAGGTTCCCCACCCCCTAAGCCTAGACTGGAGGGGGGGGAATCACTTGACTGAATGCTCCTCAGGAGAATAATGTCAAATAGGTACAGAGTCATTGATCCCTCAAGAAAGAACATGTGACAAGGTAGCTCTCCCCCCCGCCCACCCCTCCAAAATACAAGTATCAAGTTAGCAAATGAAAGGAGAGGGAACGTTTCTCAGTTATTATAGCACTGAGGAATGAACTGCAGGGCTGGTGATCTCAGCTGCCCAGACAGCTTGCAAGATGTCAAGTGGGTAGAGCAAAGCAAATTCCTGAACCGCAATGCTGGGGAGGGGGGCAGGGGGTTCCTTGAGGCAAAGGGGTCCCTCTGCCCAGTCCTTCTGCTGGCAACGAAACTCTGCTGCAGGTGAGGAAGTCCCAGGAGCAAGGGGCACCCTAATGTGTCACTCAAACAGCAAGTCAAGTCGGTGGAAGCTACCACTGGTGTTACATTCCTGCTGTTGATAGCTAGCAGAACACACACCTCCCTAAAAGAAAAAGAAACAAGAGCAGAGCTTGCTGGTACAAAATCCACTGGATCCAGAGTTGGCCCTTCTGCCATCGTGTGACAGCAACAGACCCAGTTTGGGCCTCTTCCCATTACCAACAAGGGTTCCCTGCCCCAGCTTCAATCCTGGCAGGGCAGGCAGAAGAGCTGAGGATGCAGGACTTGCTACTACTCCACTAACCCCACCCTTGCTGGCCAGGAGGTTGCATGTTATCCCAATTCTTAAATACGCTGTTAGTACAGCTTTATATCAATACTGGCAATACTAATGTGGAAGGGTCTACCAAATTTGGTCAACGCAGTAATAACAAATGGAAATAGCTGGATCGGGTGAGTGAGTGGGTAAGGTCTTGTGCACTAGGCTAGCTAGCTATATAGAGGGTGTTGCATTGATACCTTACTCAATGATTTGTCACAGAGATATCAGTTATGGGAGCAGGAGTTTACCAGTGAAGACATCAGCAAATGAAGTCTTAACATCGGACTATACAATGTGGGCCAAGGTTAATAAAGTGGTTTAACCTAGACCAGTGTTTCCAAAAGCTGAGTCTCCAGCTGTTTCTGGACTACAACTCCCATCATCCCTAGCTAGCAGGTCCGGTGGTCGGGGATGATGGGAACTGTAGTCCAAAAACAGCTGGAGACCCAAGTTTGGGGAAACCCACAAGCTACACTAAAAGTCCCAGTTAGCAAAACAACGGCCAACTAGCAGAACACAGTAGAAGCCTGTTAAAAAGATACCATAATGAATAATGAATAATAATAATAATAATAATTTATTATTTATACTCTGCCCATCTGGCTGGGTTTCCCCAGCCACTCTGGGCAGCTTCCAACAAAATATTAAAATACAAGAGTCCGTCAACCATTAAAAGCCTCCAGGTGTCTTCTAAAAGTCCGGTGGTTGTTTTCCTCTTTGACATCTGGTGGGAAGAACTCTGGCCCTCCCATCCGTAAAACACAGGCCTCCTGGAAGGCACTTTTAAGCCACTGAACACCCAACATTTTGAGATAGCAGGGGTCAAGCAGACGTGTCCCGGCCCCATAGCAAGGAATCAACTCTGCGTGAAAGGAGAGAGGGTGAAGGGGCAAGCACAGAGGGGCAAAGGCTGGCACAGCTCACCTTCCCTTTGTCAGACCAGGGGCGAGAAGATGCCAAGCCCCGTGCCAACCGGGGCATCTTCCGCAGCAAACCCTTGCAGCTTAACAAAATGGCCTGGGCGCAGCGTAGGAAAAGAGGTGTCTCTGCTGGGACCCCCCCCCCCAAAAAATCTTGCGCGCTCCATCCATGCACCCGTTTATCTCAACCTCCTGGGTGCTGCGCAAAGGGATGCAAAGGCTTTGCCGTGGGGGGGGGGGAGAAGATGGCAAGGGGGGCGGAGGCAAGAGAGGACCCCCCCCCTTACGCGCACCCCGTTTGCTGCCAGGATAACGGACACCTGGGATGGGCACCCCCGAGCCCCATTTCCCTCCACCAAGACCGAGGGAGCCCGGGGCGGAGGTGGGGCGTCTTCGCTGCCGGGCCTTTGCGCCAGTCCCCGTCCGATCCTGCGCTAGCTGCGCGGGGGCCGCCGCTTCTTACCGAAGGATTGGAGGTTCTGGATAGTGGACATGCGATTCTGTGGCTGGGCGCTGCTCGGGGGGAAAAGGCGGCGGCTGCGTTGGCCCGGGGCTCCCTCAGGTTCAGCAGCGAGAGGAAGCGGGGGCCGAGAAAGAGAGAGAGAAGAGAGGGAGGGAGGGAGGGAGGCAAGCAGCCGGCGAGGAAGGCAGGCAGAGCGGACGCGGCGGGACAGAGGAGAAGCAGAGGCAGCAGCAGCAGCAGCAGCTGATCTAACGGCGACGTTCGCTCACAAAATGGCCGCCCGCTCGCCCGGAGCCTCTCCTTCGCCCAAGCGCGGGGCACGTGATTGCAGTAGGATTCGTCCCCCGCCCCGCGCGGAATGCCGGGAAACGGAGTCCTCTCCGCCAGAGGAGCGATCGAGGGAGCTCGCAGGAGGGACTACAACTCCCGGCGGGCATGGCGGGAAAGGGTTTTGTTTTTGTTCTGGCGCTCTCCGCCTCCTCCCAACCGCCTTTTTTTGTGTGTGCTTGCCGTCGAATGTCACGTCAGGACGTGTGCAAACGCGTGTTGCGGATGATGATGATTATAAATTGATGTGTTATATATTCTATATTCTATATAAATTATATTATAAATTATAAATTATACATATTATAAATTAAATTATATAAAATTATTTTATGAAATATTTTATATATAAATTATACATTTTATAAATTATATTTTCATTTATGATAAATTATCGATATTAGTATTATTATTAATAATAATTATTATTAAATAATAATAATAATAATAATAATAATAATAATAATAAATTATCATCATCATCATCATACTGCCCTCCATCCGTACATCTCAGGGGCAGTTCACAAGATGGAAACACAAAATACATAATAAAAACAAAAACAACACAATTTTCCCACTCCCACTCCCCAAACACATTAAAAAGGGGTATAAGATGTTAATCGGCCCAAGGCCTGGTCGAAGAGGAATGTTTTCACCCGGAGCATAAAAATATATAGTGAAAGCACCCGGCGAACCTCCCTGGGGAGAGCCTTCCACACACAGGGGCCACTGCAGAAAAGGCCTTTTCCCGTGTCGCCACCCTCTGGACCTCTCACGGAGGAGGCGCACGAAGAAGGGATCGTAGGGTCCAGTCCAGGTGGGTTCATATAGGCAGTCCATGAGGTATTGTGCAGGTGAAGGCTTTATTGGTCAAAACCGGCACTTGCGATGGGGCCTGGAAACTAATGGGCAGAAAGATGTGCACAAGGCAGCAAGCGAATCCTCGTTTTGCAAACATTACAGGCCAGGCACGTGCCTCGCAATAGCATCACATTACTTTGTGCTTGCTCCATCCTAATCCCTCAGGACAATGGATTGCATAAGCCTCTCATTACCCCTGACAGAGTCAGGGATACTTCGTACTGCATGGTACACAGGGTCCTAAAGGTAAAGGTAAAGTTACACCTGACTGTTAGGTCCAGTCGCGGACGACTCTGGGGTTGCGGCGTTCATCTCGCTTTACTGGCCGAGGGAGCCGGCGTACAGCTTCCGGGTTATGTGGCCAGCATGACTAAGCCGCTTCTGGCAAACCAGAGCAGCGCACGGAAATGCCATTTACCTTCCCGCCGGAGCAGTACCTATTTATCTACTTGCACTTTGACAAACAATACAATACGATACGATACGATACGATATCTTTATTGTCATTGTCCCTTGCGGAACAATTAAATTGAAAAACTACCTAAAACTACTACAAAACTACTACAAAACTACATAAGACTACATAAAAACTACATAGGTAAAGGTAAAGGGACCCCTGACCATTAGGTCCAGTCGTGGCCGACTCTGGGGTTGCGGCGCTCATCTCGCTTTATTGGCCGAAGGAGCCGGCGTCCAGCTTCTGGGTCATGTGGCCAGCATGACTAAGCCGCTTCTGGCGAACCAGAGCAGCGCACGGAAACGCCGTTTACCTTCCCGCTGGAGCGGTACCTATTTATCTACTTGCACTTTGATGTGCTTTCGAACTGCTAGGTGGGCAGGAGCAGGGACCGAGCAACGGGAGCTCACCCCATTGCGGGGATTCGAACCGCCGACCTTTTGATCGGCAAGCCCTAGGCTCTGTGGTTTAACCCACAGCGCCACCCGTGTCCCAAAAAAAAACTACATAAAACTACATAAAAACTACATAAAACATTCAAAAACCCCTAAAAACTCTAAAACCCCATTTTAAAATACACTATACTACAGAGTGAATAAAAATTGTGGCAACGCTGTATAGTGGTGAGTACCTTCGGGGGGGGACCACTGCTTATTACTGCTTATTACTGTATTCCACACTTTCAGCTAATAAAACAATTCTATGACTTCCTTCAGATGTCTTCTGTTTAATGTAGAGTTACTTATCTCCTTGGCTCAGGGGGGTCACATAACTTCATACCCTCCAACATTTCTCTAATGAAAATTGGGACATCCTACTATACCCAACAACTTTTCTCTGATGAAAATAGGGATGTCCTAAGGAAAAGCGGGACATTCCAGGATCAAATTGGAAACTGGGATGGCTTCTGTAAATCTGGCACTGTCCTTGGAAAATAGGGACACTAGGAGGGCCTGCAGCAGCTGTTGTGTCACTCTGGCTAATGGCTGAGCTGGTCCAATCTGGTCTATTGTTCTGTGTGTCACATCATTTGGGAAGACGGGCGAAGTAATGACAGGGCACTAGAATAAGCAAAGATCACCAGTGACGAAGCAATGATTCTTCAACATCAACTTTGTTGGACTGGTCATGTTCAGATGCATCATTATTGTCTTCCAAAGCAACTATATTCCGAACTTAAAAATGGAAAGCATAATGCTGGTGGTCAACAAAAGAGGTTTAAAGACTCTCTCAAGGCAAATCTTTAAAAATGTAGTATAAACACCGACAACTGGGAAACACTGGCCTGTGATTGCTCCAATTGGAGAACAGCCTTTACCAAAGGTGTTGTGGGCTTTGAAGATGCTCGAACTCAGGACGAAAGGGAGAAATGTGCTAAGAGGAAGGCACGCTTGGGTGATCCACTCCCACCCAGAAACCAATGTCCCCACTGTAAAAGGACATGTGGATCCAAAATTGGCCTCCACAGTCACTTACGGACTCACTGTTAAGACCGTGTTCATGGAAGACAATCTTACTTGGCTACAAGAAAGAAAGAAGACTGTTCTGCCCATTAGCCTTAACAGCCCACAGCTCAGTGTCTGCTGTTATTCTTATGTGCTCATAGGCACCTTATATCAATGAGAGAGCTACAGGCTGCTATCATTCATTAAGATAGAGTAGCTCCCCCCAGCCCCAGTCTTAATAACCTTGCAGTCTAAATGAAGCTGTCTTGAGCTACTCCAGAGATGAAAGACTCTTCCCGGGGTCTTCTGGACTGGAAAGACGTTGAGGAAAAATACACTGCCATTTTCACAAATAAGGGGCTGGCATAAGACGTTAAGACTGCTATTCTGTACGCCTCCTTCCAACGGTTAGTCAAGGATCTTTGCTTCTGGCATTTCCTGCTTTGTCCAAGATGCTCTGATAATCATGGGAAAGGTTATATTGGTCCAGAACAGGCTTGATTTCTTAAACATGCTTTCTAAGAGAATACAGATGATGGAGTTCAAAGCTTCCTGGAAATCATGAGTTTTGACTTGGAAACCTTTAATTCTTCCCTGAGGAGCAGGGGTTTGATTGAAGTGACCCATTTGTGAGACCAGGCACTCTGCACATTCTCTCTTAAATTATTTGCCTTTGCTGAAGATCCAGAACCCTGATTTAATAAGGTACTGGGGCTTCACCGTGGCTTATAATATTGAAACTAAGTTATGATGCAAATCTCAAAACATTTCCTTCTGTTTCTTGACTTTGGCAGCCCATCTGGGGAAAGCTGAGAAACTGCCCATCTCAAGAGAACAGTTTGTACTTTGAGAATTAACAAGTGATCTTTCAGACCCTCCAAGTATCCCTATTTTCCAGGGACAGTCCTGGATTTACAGAAGCCGTCTGGTTTCTGGTTGGATCCTGGAACTGCCTGCTTTTCCTTAGGACGTTCCTATTTTCATTGGAGAAATGTTGGAGGGTATGGAGTTATCTGACCCCCGAGCTATCTGGAAGCAGCCCTGTATAGGGAAGTTTTTCAAAGTTTAATAGGCAGAGTATAAATAGTAAAATTATTATTATTATTATTATTATTATTATTATTATTATTAAACAGACCATCCCTATTTTCATTGGAGAAATATTGGAGGGTATGAACTTTCCCTATCTTCTATACATGTTTGACTCCCAGTCCATGATAATGCTCTGAAGGTTATACTGCTGAGTCTGTACACTAGGTGGTGCTCATCTATCAAAAAACATTATTTTTAAAAATCTTTAAATGTTCTTCCTCTGAACCCGGAGAATTTGTGTTTGTGTGTGTGCCTGAGTCCCCCAATTCACATGCAAAAAACTGTTAATTATGCTGCATTTATGTGATGATTTGCCTATCCCTCATAACTAAACAGTAAACTGGGGGGCAGTTCAATGCAAATAGGAATAATTTACTGCTTCGTTCCCCAAAACTGGTTGACAATCCAAGCAGTTGCTTTCTTTTCTAAACAGCAAATTATGGTAGAATGAGCAAATTTTAAAGTAGAGGCTGGAAGAGACATCACAATAGTGAATTTTCTGCATCGGCAGGGAATTGGACCAGATGACCTTTGAGATGTTTTCCCCCTCTGCGATTCTACGGCTCCCAGTGTGGAAATACGTCTTGCAAACAATGTTGCAAAAAGTAAGGCAACTGAATATATAAAATGATGAGACAAGCCTCTCTTGGGAAAGGGCACTACAAACCGCCCACTGTTGGATTGTGACTCTGCTGCAGATCCAGCTGTCCTCCTTTAGCAACACAGTTCCTTTTCCTCCAAGGAAGAGTAGCTTTCCTCTTTGTTCTTCGCATTTGGCAGAGGAATATTTATTTATTGGAGAGTCACAAAATTGTGTCAAACTTTCACGTTCTCCAGAACTCTTCATCGGTCAAGACGATACAAAAAGCAGGCATTGGTGAGACGAGGAATTTTTAATTTTTTTAAAAAAATATAGAATAGGTTGGATGTTGTAACCTTGAGGTCAGCTGGTAGGGTAACTACAGGGGGAAATGGTATTACTTTGTTGTGGAGAAACTATGTAGGTTTTGCTTTATGTACACATATGATGTTGTTATAAAGACAGCTGACCGTTTCTTTGGGTTGTAATCAAAGTAGTGCTAAGGGGAGCGTTCCATCAGCACGACTACATAATTCAACTTTT